AATTGTGGATGGGTACACCTCTGCTCAATTGGTGGCAAAGGTAAGATATGAAAGAAGCAGACTAACCATGCGCAAAAAAAAAACCTTTTAAACATCATATAAATCATCATTCAAATTGTAAAATAATTTTGTCGTTGGGTTTTAGAGTTTTTGATTTTATTTAGTAGATTTGACTTTATTTAGTATATTTTTTATTTAGTTACATTTATTTTTTACAAGGATTTTTAGTTTTTTGAATAACTAAAGTTTTAGAGTTTTTGAGGTCGTTTTAAGTGAGTTATGTAAGTTAGGAGTATTATAAGATTTCAAAATAAACTCAAAGAATAACCTTTTAAAATGATTCAGTTCATCATTTTAGTATGATTTTTTCTGTTGAGATTTTGATTGATGTTGAGTTTTAATGGATTTTTGTTACAGTTGAAGTTTTTACAGTTTTTTGTACAGATTTTAAGTCATTCAATTTTTAGTTGTTTTGTCTTTTTATCCTACAGTTTTTAATATTTTATAAGTTCTCCCTAATTTTTGAGTTTCAGAAAGTTTTCCAGCTACTTTAAAACTTTTAACTTTTATAAAATCTTGAAATTGTTTTGATTATATTTTTAGATATAGATGAAATTTTGGTGGTTGTTTCTTTGATTGTAAATTTTTGACATAATTTTCGAATTCTAAAAAATATAATTTATGGTTTAAGTCAACGTAATAAAATGAGATGGCTGAGTGTTGGGCCGGAATATCGATTTCGGCTAAGTCTTTTCTAATAAACCGGCTAACTAATGAATAGAATATACATTAGTTAGCTGGCTAGATACGATTAGATACTAGCTGACTAGTGAATATAATATTCTTTAGGTAGGTAATAGTTTTTATATTCCTTAATATTTAAATTTTATTTTTGTTAATATTTTTATTAAAATTCGTTCTTTTAATTTTTACAATGATGTTTTTATTAAGAATATTAAGCATTTAATTATATTAAGTATTTAATAATGTGTTCTTTTTTTTATGTAATAAAATTATTTCAAAAATCATGTGCGAGTGGTTATAATGTGCATCTTATAATTTCCTTATTGGTTTAAAGAAAGTGAGAACAGCGAAGATTGAATTAAGAAGAGCTAGACATGCTGCTAAGTCAAAGAACGATTTTGTTTCTTGAAAAAATGTTACTCCACGTTTTCAATTTTGAAATAAATTTTTATTAAAATAAAGTCGTTTTTTTAATTTGGAATAACTTCATAGTCTTGAACGTTATATTACAATATAATTTAGCAAATGTTATTATTTTATATTTATATACTAATATAAAACGCCCTCATTTTTGTGTCGAACATACCCGTAGTAGACATAACTTTAGACCTAACTTCTTATCAAAATTTATATAAAAAACAAAACTTTTATCAGAGGATCTTTTAGAGGCTACAAGTCGAATATTTGCAGAGAATGACAATACACAAACCACTGATCTCAAAATATAACTCAAAATTGGTCTTAAAATATATGTTTTTGTAAAACATTGATCTCAAAATATAACATATATTTTGAGTTATATTTCGGTGATTATATTTCAGTTATGAGTTATATTTCGTATTATAGATCAGTGACATAAACCTACAGAAGTTTTATTTTTGTACCAAGTTATCTAGTAAACCAAAAAAAAGTTGGCTAAACATTGCAAAATTTAGTAAAATAAAAAAACCATCATAAAATGTTCTATTTTATTTTTTGTTAGTGTACTTTTATCACTTTCTTTTAAGTATTAAATGACATTTTTCACCCAACCGTTTAATTACTATAAAATAGTTATCAAATCAGATCTAAAATAATTTGCAAGGTAAAAAAAAAACAAATTTAAGAACGTATACGGTGTTCTATAATATTTACGATTCCGAAAAATTAACATGAAAGATTTTCTTATAGTCGACAAAATGTTCAACACTTTTTGCATGCTTTATTACCATGCAATACCGAGATTAAAGTTCATATTATAGATATGCATACTTCAGAAATATAGCAAATAAACTATGCTTATAAGTTTATCCCTGACATCAAGGTTGTTGTATAAGGCTTATTTTCCATTTATATATTAGGACTCAAGGTAAAATCAAGTTGTCGCTAATAGCTTTATGAAGACAGTATTAGCCATACCAGCCGACGGTATATAAATCCGCAATATCACTTACACCTAAATATAAGCATCAAAAATTAAAAAAATTCATTTTTTGTGCAGCAACACAAAAACATGTTCCACTAACTAAATTTAAAAACTAAATTTCAGTCTATGATCTATTTTTAAAGCCAAAGTGCATCAATCCCCAAAATAAAACAGGATAAATTAAATTTAGATTCTACTCTCTATAATCATATATAAAAAATAGTAAATATGAACATGGTTAAGTTATTTTAGTTATTACTTAAGTCTAAAATATTTCACAACAGCATACTGTAGTACTTATCGTTCCTTTTCAAGAACGCATTCACTAAGAGTAAAAATTTTAAATATATCAGTAACGTCAAGTTAAAAACAGTGATTAAAAACAAGTCAAGTTAAAACAGTGGTTGATATTGGTAGGGTTTAAAAGCTATTTTGCCCTCTCCTCCCTCCCCCCAGCGTTGCTAATATAAAGAGTATAGATAATTTTATGTTTGAGATAAGGTGTGACAAAGATAAAAGTAAATAAAAACGGAGGAAAACGTTTAATATCTATAATGCGTCTTCATATAGCCAATTTTTACTGTATAAAAAAAAAAAAATGCTAATTTTCTACGAATTCAAACAATGACTATGTTAGACCCTCTCAGAGGTAAGGGCAGCGAGGCTTTGGCAACTTTCATTACGCTATTTGCTTAAAAACATAAAATGCAATAGTTTTGGAAAATAAAATTAAAAACTGTTTTATAATTTTAAGAAACAATTACTATAATTGTTACTTAAAAAGTTTTGGTTCATTTTTTTGAACCATAAAACACAAATTTCAAATAAAATAAATTTTCTTTTTTTTAACATCAAGACCTTTTCTTGGATAGCAATGATAAGAAAAATATCGTTCTAAAAAATTCTTTCAAAGCTATTATGAAAAAGCGACTTAAATTGCATTTTAACTTACAAAAAAATTACATAAGTTCGGTATTGCAACATACGCATGTTCGGTAAAGCAACGCTTAGTATTTAAAACTTAAGTTCTGAAAAGCTATTTCACTTTTATTAGCAAAGTTTATACTTTTTAGACATTCGACATAGTAAATAGAACATCCATCAAAAAAAAACAAAAACTTTAAACAGTTATTAATCAACCCATCCCCGATCCCTAAACTCGTTTTTTTGAAGAAATCCAAAGTAAACTATTTGTTTAGTATTTTATAGTGTAAAGTTTAGTTGAACTCAGAAACTTTAAAACACTGTGATGATTTGTAAAACGGCAAAAATTTCAAACGTGGATATTTATCATTTATGAATGGATTTGAAGAAAATCAATTCAAAAATCATATCCGATCATCTTTTTAAGCATACCCCTGCACTAACCCACTATTTCGAAAGATTCGGTATTGCAACGCATTTTTTGCAGAAACTGTTATACATTTAGTTTGAAACAAATTTATGAGCCGAAAATAAAATATCTTGAAAATTTAAAACTTTTTAAGTATAATTAAAAAAAAAAAATTATAAAAATGTTTAATCGAACGGCTACCAGCCAAAATCCTGTGAGCCGATGACCTTGTTGCAATAACGAACAGAGAACCATATACTGATGATGATGATGATGATGATAATGATGATGATGATGATGACCATGTTTATCTACGGTAACGCCACGAAAATCGTTCGTTAAGGCAACCTTTTTCGGTTTTGTAACGAAAAAGTTCTGAAATGCAACTTACCGATTCGGTAAGTCATCTGTAATAAAATATCACATCCCCCATAGAAAAAATGAAAACGAGAACGCGCTTTCGAGTCATTGCACTTAGAATGCACTTAGAAGTGTATCAAATACGTCCGAAACATTCAATTATAAACAATATAATAAATAAAAACGTTTTTTTACTAATATACTATAAATGAAGTTAGCATAAAATAGTAATATATTTTAAATTCTTATTTATAATATTTTGATCGTAATGTATTGTGTGACAATAGCGTAGAAGAAGATTACACATTAGGGATACTTTATGTAATAAAAATAACAATCGTTTGCAATATTTTAGAAGCCTGCATAGGGGGGATGTGATATTTTAAGCAAGAATTCTAGTTTCTTTTTGTGACATATATAGCAAATAAACCGAGGGGATGTGATATTCTAGATACTAAATTCTAATCGTTTGAAATATTGTATGAATTACTTATGGGATGTATTACTTCAGAGGTAAACATAGAGGGGATATGACATTTTAAGTAAGAATTTAAGTTTCTTTTTGTGACATATACAGTGAATAAACCGAGGGGATGTGATATTCTAGATACCAAATGCTAATCGTTTGAAATATTGTATGAATTACTTAGGGGGATGTAATATTTTAAAGGTAAACATAGAGGGGATGTGATATTTTAAGTAAGAATTTCAGTTTCTTTTTGTGGTGCATACAGAATTTACAAGTGATAAATCTTATATTTTAAACACTAAATACTAACCATTTGAAATGTTTTATGAATTACTTAGGGGGATGTAATATTTTAGAGATAAACATAGGGGGGATGTGATATTTTAAGTAAAGATTTAAAGTTTCTTTTTGTGACATATACAGTGAATAAACCGAGGAGATGTGATATTCTAGATATCAATTACTAATTGTTTGAAATATTGTATGAATTACTTAGGGGGATGTAATAATTTAAAGGTAAACATAGCGGGGATGTGATATTTTTAATAGCAAATATTAATTGTTTGAAATATTGTATGAAATACTTTAGGGGATGTAATATTTTAAAGGTAAACTTAGAAGGGATGCAATACTTTTAGTAAGAATTTCAGTTTCTTTTTGTGACATATATAGCAAATAAACCGAGGGGATGTGATATTCTAGATACTAAATTCTAATCGTTTGAAATATTGTATGAATTACTTATGGGATGTATTACTTCAAAGGTAAACATAGAGGGGATATGACATTTTAAGTAAGAATTTAAGTTTCTTTTTGTGGTACTTACAGAACTTACAAGTGATGGATGTGATATTCTAGGTACCAAATACCAATCGTTTGAAATATTGTATGAATTATTTAGGGGGATGTAATATTTTAGAAGTATTCATTAGGGGGGATGTGATATTTTAAGTAAGAAGTTCAGTTTCTTTTTGTGACATATACATAGAATCTACAGGGGGATGTGATATTCTAGGTATCAAATACTAATCAATTGAAATATTGTATGAATTACTTAGGGGGATGTAATATTTTAAAAGTATACATAGGGGGGATGTGATATTTTAAGTAAGAACTTCAGTTTCTTTTTGTGGTACATACAGAACTTACAAGTGATGGATGTGAAATTCTTGGTACCAAATAGCAATCGTTTGAAATATTGTATGAATTACTTTGGGGGATATAATATTTTAGAAGTATACGTAGGGGTGGTGTGATATTTTAAGTAAGAAGTTCAGTTTCTTTTTGTGACATATACATAGAATCTATAGGGGGATGTGATATTCTAGGTATCAAATACTAATCAATTGAAATATTGTATGAATTACTTAGGGGGATGTAATATTTTAAAGGTAAACATAGAGGGGATGTGATATTTTAAATAGAAAATATTAATTGTTTGAAATATTGTATAAATTACTTAGGGGATGTAATATTTTAAAGGTAAACATAGAGGGGATGTGATGTTTTAAGTAAGAATTTCAGTTTCTTTTTGTGACATATGCAGAGATTCCACAGGGTAGATGTGATATTTTAAATACCAAATATGAATTGCTTGAAATATTGTAAAAAAGTACTTAGGGGGATCTAATATTTTAGAAGTATACATAGGGGGAATGTGATATTTTAAGTAAGAATTTTAGTTTCTTTTTGTGGTACAAACATAATTTGCAAGTGATGAATGTGATATTCAAGATAGCATTTACTACTCATTTGAAAAATTTTATGAATTACTTAGGGGATGTAATATTTTAAAGATATACATAGGGGGGATGTGATATTGGGGAATATTTTAGAAGCCTGCATAGGGAGATTTGATATTTTAATTTAGAATTTTAGCTGTTATTTGCAAAATGTGCAGAGTTTACTCAAACAGTCTTTTTTAATTTTTTTTTTCAGATTTAATTGAGCTAACAAGTTAAAAATGTATTATTGTTCAATCAGTTCATATGTGTGCCAACATATAAATTTACACAAAATAATATGTATGCCGACATGTAATCTATGCTGAATGTAAAATATGCCGAAATATGCCGAATATGTATGCCAATGATTTACACAAAATAATATGTATGGCGACATATGAATTGGCGGAATTATGAAGGCTTCCGACAATTTAAAGTATTATAACAATACAAGAAGTCACTAAAAATAGGGAGAAAAAAATTTCACCTTTTTGTGTTTTTATCTGTAAGCGCATAAACATTTAAATTGGTTCAATTTATGACAAAATTTTGAAGAAAAAGAAATGACTGCAATTTTTAAAGTTTTATTTATTATTACATTTATATATAAATATGTTCACAACAAAATAAAGTTTCATTTTTAAAAACAATGCATCTTATACGGTACCATCGATTTGGATGCAAATATCACATTTGATCTAAAAATAAATATTTAATGTACATTTTTGTATTTGAATATTTAAAGTAAGTATTTTATTCTATTTGAAATTATTAAAATATATTTTATTACCCATCATATACCCAATAAAAATTATATTTTATTACACATTATATACCCAAAAAAACAATTAAAATATATTTTATTACCCATTTAACTTTTTTTTGATTTTTTCTAGTTTTTTGACCAATTTAGCTTCCACAAATGCGACACAAACTATTCTGCCAACTTTTCTGACCTATTGATTTAATTTTTCATCATTTTTTTTTTTTGTCTTTTTTAGAGATATCATTTAACATTGAAGTAGTATAAACATTTTCAGTTCTCTAAATAATCTCACAAACCTCCTTTATCTCTCTTTCTATATGCATTAACTTCTACATGTGGAAAGAAACGCACCAATACTTCTCCATTTGTATAACTTTCAGCAAACTAAAATATGTAAGCTTATATATATATATATATATATATATATATATATATATATATATATATATATATATATATATATATATATATATATATATATATATATATATATATATATATATATATCCATTACAGTTAAGACTCTTAAAGTTAGTTTAAGGCATAATACTCCAAATGTTATACCTTTAGCTTGTATGGCATGTGGTAATGTTAATATTTCAAACTTTTCTGAAACACCATATCTTTGTTGTAAGTAACAACTACTGTATAATAGTAAAAAATTGTAAAAGATGTAAATACAAATTTTGACATAGGAATATCTAATAATAATATCATACTTCCATTTCACTTCTTCTTTTTTGATGGAATTTATCTGTTCTCCCATAGGATCCATAGAGTGAATTGTTTTATTACCTGGTTTGATTATCTAAAACACAAGTGAGTTTCAATATCAGGTTCAAAGTATATATATATATATATATATATATATATATATATATATATATATATATATATATATATATATATATATACATATATATATATACATATATATATATATATATATATATATATATATATATATATATATATATATATATATATATATATATATATATATATATATATTTGTGTGTGTGTGTGTGTGTGTGTGTGTGAGTGTGTGGGTGGGTGTGAAATACTCTATAATTAAATTAATAAATCATTAATTTTTTTTAGATAAAAGTTTTTGAATACCTTATGCCGTCTTTGTATTAAATCAGTTTTAATTTGCAATTCATCCAGTGAGCGTAGCCCAGCTGGCTACAGTACTTCGACTCGATTCTTCAAAGCATCAATAAATGGAATGGCATTCAATATATTGTTTTATATTTAGAATTAAAATTTTATTTAAATAAAGACAAATTTAAAAAAAAAATGCGTTATTGTTTTTTTGTACAATAATTTTATTATAAAGTACATTAATTAATCATACTTTTTCTTTACTGTTTACTAATATTTTGAGATAAATATTAACAACTTCGTCACTGAGACATTCGTTTAAAGTGTCTTGTAACAAATAATCGTGTACCTTGCAGTCACCTAAATCTGGATGTATACCCAGAATGACTTTTACAGGGTTTTTTAATATGGATACATTTTATTATTCCGTAACCTATTCATGAAATGCAATTTAAGGATAATTTCATCAAAATTTAAGCATAAGCCTTTCTTCTAATAAAATAACGACTATTACATTTATTGAAGATTACATGTTTTAAAACTCTACACATTTTTTCACCAGGTTGGATAATGTTTAAATTGATTATTTAAATAGGTTTACATAAAAATCTTTATTACAATAAAAAGGTAACGCTAAAAAAATGTAAAAGTGATTTATTATTATATACCTTCACTGTCTTTAGCTGCAAAGATTTTTATAATTATCTGCCTCCTCTAGAAAATAAATTATAAATAAAATAAAACGCTAACAATCACAAATGAATAAGTAAGTTTTTAATTCATACCTTCACTATCATTAACTTCAAAGCTTTTTGTTGGTGTCTCTGCCTTCTCTTGAAAATAACCATAAAATAAAATAATGAAAAAATATATGTTTTAACAATAAATTAAAATAAGAAAACGAATATTTTACCCGAGTATAAATCAAAAAACAATAAAAATTGTTTTCATATTAGTATTACCTGTAGAAAGTTAAACAAATATTAGGTTTGAAGAAAAAGTAAAATATTTTATAAATAGAATGAAAACTTCATTGAAGTAACAGGTATATCAGTAACTTCTACCGAGTAACAAAATTAAAAAAAAAACATTTCTCTTCTCAGCGTTTTTTAAAGACGTATAAAGACCTCTATTAGGCGTAATAAAATTTAGACGCCTTTGAATAGCTATGGCTTTCTGAGACAAGTGTCTGACAAAGATGTCTTTTAAACTAAAATAAGTGAACATAAACTCTCAACCTCAACTAATATATTTAAAAATATAATGTAACTTCACTTTGTTTTAGCTCATTCTTTTTCTAGCGCTTATCTTTCTTTAAACCTTTTAATTTTCTAAACTGATCAAAACGAGCTTCTTGATTCACAAAAAAGTTATGCCAAATATTGTGCGGCCGTGGCGCAGTGGTTAGATCATATGCTTTATAAGCAGGAGATCCAGGTTCAAAACGAGCTTTGGACATATTTCGCGTCATGGTAAGGAAGGAGGCGTGAACTTCCTGGTTAAATGCCCTTCCGCGGTGCTCTGTGACAAGACCGTTAGGACTTCTTAGGGTACCTAAATAAAAAATTTTTTTTAAAAAAAATTATAAACAAGGACAATTTTGTGCAGATTTTTTGTTATTTTTATTATGGCTACGCGTTGGCACCGGACTCGTTGAATAAAAATTTAATCAATCTTTATTATAACAATTAACATAGTCAGTTTTGTTACCTAATTCAATCATTTAAATTAAGCCACTACGCTTTCGTCTTTTTTTCAAACTTGTTGAATTCAACGCTATAAATCTGTCATTATAAGGATGATTATTATTTCTTAATGAAATCTTCTTCGAACAATCCTGCACTTTAGCATTTGTGTCATTAAGAAAATAGGAAAACCTAACAAAAGCAGAATATTCTTAGTGTGGAAGAATAATACTTGCTCAATAGTATTTTTTTTCAAAATTTTTATTTTTACAAAAATGTTGTGTTAACATTTGATAGAATATATATATATATATATATATATATATATATATATATATATATATATATATATATATATATATATATATACAACAAACCGTTTATGTACTTTGTCTTTTACAGTACATTATTCTTCATCATTTCAGTTCAGTATGATATTGGATGATTCTAATACATGAAATACATGATTTTATAATTTATTGTAATAAATATAAGTTAATTTTTTAACTGCCACTTTTAAAAATTTGTATAATTTTAATAATTGTGAACTGGACTAAATATTATTAACTCGCCTCAACAGGCTCAATAATCACATTATATTTCCATACCAAGCCACCCAAAGAAACGTTAATATTTAAAAATAGTTCTTTAAAATGTTCTTTTATTAAGAAAAGAAGTTTCTATTATTCAAAAAAAGTATCTAAAGAAGTTATAACCTTCCCAAAACATTACGCCTAAGCCACCATAGGTGGACGTAATGGAGAAAAATGTTAAATTATGCAATAGAATGAAAAAAGACAAACCGTAATTATTTATTTTCCTTCAAAACGTATTGTACATTAAAATATTTATGTTGTAAGATATGAATACATTTAGAGTAAAAAATTATTGTAATTAATTTCGTTCATTTTAAATCTTATGAAAACTTTAATTCCACCAAAGTTTTATAAATGACTTCGTTGAACAATGTCGCATGTTTAAATTGTTAGCTCAATCGTATCTAAAAAGAAATAAAATAATAAGTTAAAACTTTAAAAAGCTAAAAAACACTTTAAATATTAAAGTTTCTTGATTTTATTAAAAGTTCTTTAATTTTTTTTTAATTCTTTAATTAAATATATAAATTTATTATAAAGATCTCCCCATCATAGGAGGACCCAAGAAACAAAAAATAGCTAACAATATTTGAGATACATATCTTACTTAAATTACACATCAACCCTATGCAGGCGTCTAAAATATTATTATTATCTCACTAAGGAATTCTTTACAATATTTTAAACAATTAGTATTTTGTGTTTTAAATATCAGATTCCTCACTTAAAAATTCTGTGTGTATTACATAAAGAAACTAAAATTTTTACATAAAATATCACGTCCCCCCTTTGTATACTTTTAAAATATTACATCCCCCTAAGTAATTCTTTACAATATTTCATTAGGTATCAAATACTAATCAATGATTAGTATTTGAATATCTTTAGTACCTAGAATATCACATTCCCCCTATTTATTCTCTATAAATGTCACAAAATAAAACTGAAATTCTTATTTAAATTACACATCCACCCTATTCAGGCGTCTAAAATATTACATCCCACTAAGTAATTCATAAAATAATTCAAACAATAAGTATTCGGTAACTAGACTATAACATTCATCACTTGTAATTTCTGTATAAATAACATAAAGAAACTGAAATTCTTTCTTAAAATATCACATCCCAACGATGTCTACTTCTAAAATATTACATCTCCCAAAGTACTTCTTTACAATATTACAATATTTCATTTAAAAAAAAAGTACTTCTTTACAATAATAAAATATTTCATTTAAAAGTTCTGTATATACCACAAAAAGAAACTTAAATTCTTATAATATCACATGCCCTCTATGTTTATCTTTAAAATATTACATCCCCCTAAGTAATTCATAAAATTTTTTAAATAAGTAGTAACTGCTATCTTGAATATCACATTCAACACTTGTAAATTATGTTTGTACCACAAAAAGAAACTAAAATTCTTACTTAAAATATCACATCTCCCCTATGTAAACTTCTAAAATATTAGATCCCCCTTACAATATTTCAAGCAATTCATATTTGATATTTAAAATATTACATCTCCCCTGTGGAATCTCTGCATATGTCACAAAAAGAAATAGAAATTCTTATTTAAAACATCACATCCCTTCTATGTTTACCTTTAAAATATTACATCCCCTAAGTAATTCATACAATATTTCAAACAATTAATATTTGCTATTTAAAATATCACATCCCCTCTATGTTTACCTTTAAAATATTAGGTCCACCTAAGTAATTCATACAATATTTCAAACGATTAGTAATTGGTATCTAGAATATCACATCTCCTTGGTTTATTCACTGTATATGTCACAAAAAAAAACTGAAGTTCATACTTAAAATATCACATCCCTCCTATGTATACTTCTAAAATATTATATCCCCCAAAGTAATTCATACAATATTTCAAACGATTGCTATTTGGTACCAAGAATTTCACATCCATCACTTGTAAGTTCTGTATGTACCACAAAAAGAAACTGAAGTTCTTACTTAAAATATCACATCCCCCCTATGTATACTTTTAAAATATTACATCCCCCTAAGTAATTCATACAATATTTCAATTGATTAGTATTTGATACCTAGAATATCACATCCCCCTGTAGATTCTATGTATATGTCACAAAAAGAAACTGAACTTCTTACTTAAAATATCACATCCCCCCTAATGAATACTTCTAAAATATTACATCCCCCTAAATAATTCATACAATATTTCAAACGATTGGTATTTGGTACCTAGAATATCACATCCATCACTTGTAAGTTCTGTAAGTACCACAAAAAGAAACTTAAATTCTTACTTAAAATGTCATATCCCCTCTATGTTTACCTTTGAAGTAATACATCCCATAAGTAATTCATACAATATTTCAAACGATTAGAATTTAGTATCTAGAACATCACATCCCCTCGGTTTATTTGCTATATATGTCACAAAAAGAAACTGAAATTCTTACTAAAAGTATTACATCCCTTCTAAGTTTACCTTTAAAATATTACATCCCCCTAAGTAATTCATACAATATTTCAAACAATTAGTAATTGATATCTAGAATATCACATCTCCTCGGTTTATTCACTGTATATGTCACAAAAAGAAACTTTAAATCTTTACTTAAAATATCACATCCCCCCTATGTTTATCTCTAAAATATTACATCCCCCTAAGTAATTCATAAAACATTTCAAATGGTTAGTATTTAGTGTTTAAAATATAAGATTTATCACTTGTAAACTCTGTATGCACCACAAAAAGAAACTGAAATTCTTACTTAAAATATCACATCCCCTCTATGTTTACCTTTAAAATATTACATCCCCCTAAGTAATTCATACAATATTTCAAACGATTAGTATTTGGTATCTAGAATATCACATCCCCTCGGTTTATTCACTGTATATGTCACAAAAAGAAACTTAAATTCTTACTTAAAATGTCATATCCCCTCTATGTTTACCTTTGAAGTAATACATCCCATAAGTAATTCATACAATATTTCAAACGATTAGAATTTAGTATCTAGAATATCACATCCCCTCGGTTTATTTGCTATATATGTCACAAAAAGAAACTGAAATTCTTACTAAAAGTATTACATCCCTTCTAAGTTTACCTTTAAAATATTACATCCCCTAAAGTATTTCATACAATATTTCAAACAATTAATATTTGCTATTTAAAATATCACATCCCCGCTATGTTTACCTTTAAATTATTACATCCCTCTAAGTAATTCATACAATATTTCAAACAATTAGTAATTGATATCTAGAATATCACATCTCCTCGGTTTATTCACTGTATATGTCACAAAAAGAAACTTTAAATCTTTACTTAAAATATCACATCCCCCCCTATGTTTATCTCTAAAATATTACATCCCCCTAAGTAATTCATAAAACATTTCAAATGGTTTGTATTTAGTGTTTAAAATATAAGATTTATCACTTGTAAATTCTGTATGCACCACAAAAAAAAACTGAAATTCTTACTTAAAATATCACATCCCCTCTATGTTTACCTTTAAAATATTACATCCCCCTAAGTAATTCATACAATATTTCAAACGATTAGTATTTGGTATCTAGAATATCACATCCCCTCGGTTTATTCACTGTATATGTCACAAAAAGAAACTGAAATTCTTACTTAAAATATAACATCCCCCCCCGATGTCTACTTCTAAAATATTACATCCCCCTTAGTAGTTTATAAAGTATTTTAAACAATTAGTATTTGGTATATAGAATATAACATCCACCACTTGTTATTTCTGTATATGTCACAAAAAGAAACTAGAATTCTTGCTTAAAATATCACATCCCCCCTATGCAGGCTTCTAAAATATTGCAAACGATTGTTATTTTTATTACATAAAGTATCCCTAATGTGTAATCTTCTTCTATGCTATTGTCACACAATACATTACGATCAAAATATTATAAATAAGAATTTAAAATATATTACCATTTTATGCTAACTTCATTTATAGTATATTAGTAAAAAAACGTTTTTATTAATTATATTGTTTATAATTGAATGTTTCGGACGTATTTGATACACTTCTAAGTGCAATGACTCGAAAGCGCGTTCTCGTTTTCATTTTTTCTATGGGGGATGTAATATTTTAGGCGGATGTGATATTTTATTACACATCACGCAATTTTTTTAAAATGTTTACATTCGGTATTGTCACCTCCGCGAAAAATAAACTTTAATCCTCCATTGCAGCTAGCGGAATTATGTTATGTTAAGGTGCTTTAAGCTTAATCTTACAAGATGAACCTTATATTTTTTTAAATATTTTATTATACATAGTTTACAAGTATTTAATGTGATCATAGTTGTCATATGATGTCAAGTAGATATATTTTCTAATAAATTAATTAGTACAATTTATGTTACAGTCAATTTTATATTTATATGTTGCATGAACTTTACAATTATATGTTGTATGAACTTCATTGCAACATAGCTTAATTTGGATAAACTTAATGAAACAAATAGGAATTTACTCGATAATAGTTTAATTTAATAATTTGATTTAATCGATAACATAAATTAATAGTAATACAAATTGAACTAATCAACTTATTACAAAGTATATCTACTTGACATAAATATATTATACATATATATATATATATATATATATATATATATATATATATATATATATATATATATATATATATATATATATATATATATATATGCATATATATATGTATGTATATATATATATATATATATATATATATATATATATATATATATATATATAAATATATATATATGCATATATATATGTATGT